AAATTATAATATCACAACCAAGTTGCAGTAACAATAAGAATGTCAAACTCAAATTTTATTTCCATTTTGTACTGAATATCACTATTTGTTTTTTTTGTGTGTGTGACTGGCAAGGGGATCGCAACCCTCGTATTTCCATTTTGTACTGAATATCACTATTTGTTTTTTTTGTGTGTGTGACTGGCAAGGGGATGGCAACCCTCGTCTTGGTGTCACCCGCACTGCGCTCAGCCAGTGAGCGCACCGGCCATCCCGCGCACTGGCCATCCCTATATAGGATCCGAACCTGCGGCCTCGGCTCTCCCAGCGCCGCACTCTCCCGAGTGAGCCACAGGGTCGGCCCTGAATATCACTATTTGGATGTCACACATACCTCACATTGAACATATTCAAAACCAAAATGCATTACCCTTTTTTCTTTTATCTTCAGAACTTGCTGCTTCTCTTTTACTTCTAAACATAGTTAACAACATAATCACCTACCCAACATTTCAAATTAGACACCTGAGAAACATTTTTGACTTTTCCTCTCCAAATTTGTAAGCCACAAAAATTAAAATAAATAATTCACCTAGAACAGACCTAAGTGATAAAATGTATGGCTTTGAAATCTGACTCAGTGGGGAAAGGCAAAACAAACAAACAAACAAACAAAAAACCCCTGCTATTTAAAAATTTTAAAACTTGATATTTGAAAGTGGATTTTGAAGTCACCGAATTAGAGTATCACATACTAATGAAAAGTTTTAGCATGAGAATTCTTGATTTGTGATAACTGCTTTTAAAGTAGTCATTATTGCTGAATATAATTTTTAAAACCACCACGGCCATGGGAAGGCTCATCAGACAGTACTGCAGAAAAGGGAAGATGTGAGGTTGTTTTTCCCTAGAAGGGAGGATAACTTTTCAGGAAGCATCACCTAGAGAATTTCATCGACATAGCCGATTTACATAAACCAGGATAATCCCACTGTTTGTTTTCTGGACTAGTGGTTGTGGATTTTGAAAGATATTTTGCTTAAGTTACAGCGATGGCTGTTTCAACTCTCATGCTTGTTTGTTTTGTGAGAGACTCAGCCCTCAGGTCTGGTGAAGAGAATATAATCATGACTAAACACAAATTTTACATCCTGTCTCCCACTCCATTTTGAGTCTAGTCATGGTGATTAAGCTTTTAGTGAATTCACAAAGCAGTTGCCCCAAATTCACTTAACACTCACCACTTTCAAATTTCTCTTAATCTACTAACGAAAAGTTTTAGCATGAGAATTCTTGATTTGTGATAACTGCTTTTAAAGTAGTCATTATTGCTGAATATAATTTTTAAAACCACCACCAAGCACAAAAGCTCAAGTTTGGTTTTTAGTTATCCTTTATGCCCCCAGTGAAATGTTATTCCTTAGAAAGGTCTTCTCTGATCATCCTATATATATATAAGGTTCCTCTGCTATTATTTTCTATCATTACTACTTTTTCATTTCTTCTTAGTATGTATTTCAATTTATAATTAATAAACTATTATGAAATTACAATTATTAAAATTATTTTTATTTTAAGATACCTTTGACTAAACTGTAAATGCCACAAAAATAGAGACTATATCTGTCACTGATATTAAAGCACTTATAAGAGTACCTCCTTTAGATTCAATTAAGCAATCTTACAATTTATGAGACTTTTTTTTTTTTTTTTTCCTTTTTTTGTCTTTTTTTACGTGACCGGCAACGGATCGCAACCCTCAGTGTCGCGCCCGTACTGGACCGGGACCGGCAACGGGATCGCAACCCTCAGTGTTGCGCCCGCACCTCGCTCAGC